ATAACATTATTGTTAGTTAATTCATTGAGGATTTTGTATGGTGACAAAGGGGGTTGTGTAAACATAGTTTTAAGAGGTATTTAATGGTTTGAAAGGTAAGAACATTTTAAACAGCAACCCCAACCATAATAATAACAGAACAATAATAACACTAACAATAATAATTGTACTAATAACAAAAAAACAATTATAAAGTGCCATAACTATGCATAAGCAAACACAAAACTTTGACATAACACAGACCTTTGGATAGAAGTTTTCTGAATTTTTGCATAGCTGCTAACTGCTTCTCCTGTTCTTCTGAGTATAATGCTTCCACTACATCAGGCGAAAAAACATCCTGGAAAAAGAAACATACAATTGACAGTGTCTGAGACTATGGCTTGTCACTTGCTTAGCAATGAGACTAAAAATTTGAGTGTTCGTGAATAACATATTAATACTACTTGACTGCTCACAACTTAAATTTTAAAGGATGCTACATCACACAACACAAGAAAGAACTTAACCATTAATTCCAAGTTTTGCACTTCTCTTTGCACTGTTCATAAATATCAATATGAATGGAAGCAAGTTTATTTGCTTTAAAGTGACTAATTCTTGTCTGCATTATCTTTGGAACAAAATTACATATTAGGCTACCTGTAATGTACCAATACCAATGTACCAAACCCAAAAACTTAAGTTGGGTAAAAACTGAGAAAATTTGTTTTGGATCCAGTAATGCATCAATGGCCCCAAACAATTCTCATATTCATGAAGGTTGATAAAAATTCCAAGGGGAGGGGGGTGGTGGGCTTCAAAACCCATTGTTTCTGACAGAGAGGATGCAGCCCAAATGTCACCATTTTTTAATATGGAAGTGTACGAGTTGGTTTCAAAGCTCGGTCTTTTATAGTGATTTTCATAACTTACATATAACGCACCAATGTTTAATAAATTATATCAAAAGCGAAAGACGATTTAGAATTATGCAAGCTAAGAACAAATTTAATACTTAGTTTACATGAAAAAATTATTTTGAGAAATAGCATAAAGAAAAAACACTCAGGTTATGAATGTAACACCACAAAGACGTTTTAATACGAAAATAAATAACCTCTTTATCGATGACGTGCAATCCCAATGATTTTAAATTTCAATTAAACGCGATATAAAAGGAAATGCACGAAAATGAGCATAGTTCTGTTTGAAGTATTACTACTCATTTTGGTCTAAAGACAAAATGGTAAATAAAAAATTTTTACGAAAAATGATATATGTTTGTAGCTCACATGAGCTCAATGTTTCCGGATTTAAGGCGACCCGGAACGATACCAACTATTGCAGAGCTTATAAGCACGAATGTGACAAGTGACTTTGTGCCATAATTTTAAAACATTTAAAACAAATAAGTTCAGCAAATAATCATGTCGATACAATCAGATGACTAAATATAGGAGTTCTTCTCCACCAAGCACTAAACTAGGTTTTAACTAAGGTTTTGTGAAGGAATTGCGACACACATTGTGGGCTTTCCTTACCTGACCAACGTGGTTTGTGGTAAGTAGAGTCTCCAGCTCACCAGGCTGCGAAGATGATTTTCCTGTCATATCAACATTTCTTCTCTTAAACATCTACAACGAAACACACCAAGCCGTGACGGAAACAATTGAAGAATCCAGAAACAAAATTTGGAAAACATAAATCGAAAAATCACGTACAAACCACGCTGCAATTTTGTACATATTTTCTTACTTGTTCTTCCCGTTTGGCCTTTCGGAGTTGTACTCCTTCTTCTTCTCGCCTTCGCCTCATCTCTGCAGTATCTAAGGCTTTGTTCTTGTAGGATTTCAATCGTGCATTCGCCCGAGTCGCCATTTTCAAGACGGGTCGAGGGAAAGCACTAAATCTTACAAAGAAACGAGGAAGGTGGACCGCGAAATTGAAAATGTCTCGAGGTTTTTTTCGGCTCTTGTTCTGGGTGGCGTGCTTCCACCTGAAAATGTGCGCTTGCGCAGCATCAACCTACCGGTGTCCAGTCTTCGGAATCAAAATTGCGCGGCCGAGCGATGTGAATCGCGAGACGGTAATGCGGGTAATGCTATTGGGCCGTGAATTTCCTCTATGTAGAAACAAATTTTTGTGTTTCTAATTAAGAAATTTTTGTTGGGAGCTAATTTTTGCGATTTTCTTCACTAGGAGGGAACGAAGTGTCTCCAAGTAAATCAGTTGCAAAATTGAGTTGTTTCAGCCTACATTTGACATTTTCCGTCTGACATTTCAACTGAAGCAGAAAAACATCTCTCGTTGACTTAGGGTAGGACATTTTTGCCGTTTTTGATTTTGCTTTTTTTTTTCAGTGAATCCAGCATAATTTTAAACCCGCAGATTTATGTAAGAGGCGATAAATAAGAAGTGATTTTGAGATTGCGCTGCAAAATTTGGTCCAAGATCTGAATGCTGCCTGGCAAGTCATCCCGGAGATATAAAAGACTGGAAATAGAGAAAGGCTGATACGAATATCTCTTTATCTCGAAAAGAGACGAATCTCTTAGAAAACCAGAAAAATCGGCGGTCAGATAGGTAACCTGAAACTGAGAAGGTCGCACATTTGCTGTATCAGCTGTAAGACTCTGGAATAATATACCCTTATCTACTAGAGAAGCAGATTCTGTAGCCTTTTTTAAGGTTATAATTAGGTTGATGCGTTTTAATTAGTTAACTGAATCGAGATTCATATGATCTCTTCTAAGTCCTAATGATTTCTTGAGTTTTTCAGTTGATCGGGCTAATTCGCGTGTTCTTATTTCTTCATCATTTGAATTTTTGTTTTTGTTTTATTTCTAGAACTTGTAATCAACAGATTTACTCAGGGCCAGAAGTTTTTTTTAGCCCGTGGCTATCATTACGGACATTACGTGCTACCCTGTCTAAATAAAGTCTTTTTCATTATTTAGTGGCTCCGAGAATATACAGCTTTAGACCACTAAGACCTAAGAACCCATCCAGCAAATGCAAACGTATTTCCAGGTTTAAATGTTGTTTTTCTCGGCTTGGAAACAAAATTGGAAAGCGACAACCAGAAATAAATCGCCGGCGGCTCGCAAACTGTTTTCTCTGATGAGAGTTCAAGATGTCTGAACTAATCGGAGATTGCAATGGTCTCGCCTATAACTGTACGCTATAACTGTACGCTATAACTGTACGCTATAACTGTACGCTAGAGGTTGATTACGAGTGTTTACTACGAATTTTCATTAGCTCTTGGTGATTTTCGTCTGCGTACGAATTTATAGAATTCTGAGTGGTTGTTGTGTTCAGAATCGAACATAAACACATGACCGATCTTTTATGACCAAACCTTTACATCTTAAGCAAGATGAACATATATAATATCTCCTGACAGTATCAACCCCCCTCCCACGGTATCAAATATCAATGTCATGAGAAAAACGGATGTGATTGCGAAATCAGGAATTAGGCTCTTGATTGTTGGAAAAACTTCTCCTTGTAAGTGTTATAGAAAATGTAAAGGGGATGAACAAGATAAGCAAGATAAGCAAGATAAGCAAGATGAACACATAATCTCTCCCGACAGTGTCACTCCCCCCCCTCCCAAGGTATCAAATACCAATGTCGTGAGAAAAACGGATGTGATCGCGAACTCAAGAATTAGGCTCTTGATTTTTGGAAAAATTTCTCCTTGTAAGTGTTATAGAAATTGTAAAGGGGACAGTATGGAGAAGTTGCATGCTGATGTTAGGGTGTCAAGGGTTGATAGGGACTACTCTACAGTCAGCTATAAAAGTGCAACATGCAAAGGAAGAAACGGTAACGCGGTTGATATTGGTCACCTTGTGGCTCAACAAAAATCCCAGCAAAAAGCACAAATGACTTTGTTTGGATATCTTGCGTTTGATTACTAATAAGTTATCTTCCTCATAATGTTGACAAGTGGGCCCCGCCGAAAGGCAGGACTACTCGAAATAAATTGGTTTCTAGTCAACAAATGGTAAACACCACAGTTATGGATGCACGCGGGATGTTGCTAAGCACGAAAGAAGCGT